TGTGCTACAACTGTGCTAAGTAATAGCAAAATCTTTTAATGGGTTATGTTTGTTGCTTTCATGATATGAACCCGTCAGGCTCCATTTCTTTCCCACACATATCGTGCTGTTTTACAGCTTTCTTATGCCTTGGGTGAGAAAAAGCTTCCTCTTGCTTTCAGCTTCAGCTGGAGAACTACTTTATCTCTCCCTCCCAGCTCTCCCTGCACAGGGAGGCTTGGCCAGCAGGTTGTTGCTGATGTAGGGGCAGTCCCATGGTGTGGGGGGTGATGAGACCACCTACAGCAAGAAATTCTCTTGGCTGCGGCTTGACCCTGTGTCGGTGGGGGCATGAGCCCAAGGGTCTGGGTCTGCAGACACTAAATGGGGTCAAGCTATACACTGCTCTTGCTGAAATGATTGCTCCACTGGTGGTCAAGGGAAATTGCTCCAGATTGGATTTAAAAGCAAGCAAGCTCCTTACTGCTGCAGGAAGGAGCGAGTGCCTCGTTGGCCGAGGTTACCTTTGAAAGGGCTGACCTCCACTGGCAGGGGCTTGGATCCGGTCACATTCCTGTCGCGTGGGTAAAAGGCACTGCTGAATGACAGCAGTAGTTATTCACAGAGTATGCTTTAATACAGCACCTCATGAGTCCTACACCTGTGGCACCATACATGTAGGCTGCCAAGGGAGTGAATCAACCACAAAAGTTTCCACTAATTCATGTAATATGGCATTTTCTGCATATAATATAGATCCAAAATTTTATGTCTGGGGCTAGGAGGAATTGTTTGCTGGATTTTGTTTTCTTATGATTAAATTTCTAGCCTTGAAGTCTCCCTAGGAAAAGGAATAATTATGAGAGGTCATTTGTCAAAAAGGGTTCATGCATATAATTAATTTATTGTACTTCAGCAATTTACCATGGATCAGCTGGGAGATGAAGAGAGTTTGTGTGTCCCTAGCCCTAAGCATGTATATGGGGCTAGGCTAATATGGATTTACATAACAATATATTTTTATATAGGATGAATTTTCAAAACAGTAGTGAAAAAGCCAGAGATTTTCATAGAATTGATCATATTTTTGCCAAGCCTCTGTTATTACTATACTGTTACTCTATTACAGAGCTCAAACTGTAACCTGGCAATATTTCCTAAAGGTGGTAGCACTGTTGTCTAAATTAATCTTCCCTGGAAGATGGTTTTCAAGCCATATCTTATTAGCCGAAAAGGTTTTGCCCCCAGCTGTCAAACATTTCATCCTTGGTTTAATTTCTCTGTTCAGAGAAATTTTTGGTCATCTGTAGAGTAAAACCTGAATTGTTCTCCTAAATGTGACCAGGTCTCAATACTCTTCTCAATGTCTAATACTTAAGAATTATTTCTTATTTCACTAATTTTATGTTGATGATTCTTCTTTCTTATGTATCATTGGTGCTGATTTGCCCTGTGTCTTCTTGAGCAGGGTCATTCTGGGAGAGTTCTGCAGTATATGGGTGAAGACGTTGCCAGTACAGTCCTGTTGAATTCACAGAGGTTTTGGATCTCTTCCTAACCTTGTGTCCAACTCAACTGACATCAATAATTTCCTGTGGTTTTTTGATTTTAAGAGTTCATTCATTTTTTCCAAGACCTTATTTTAGATACTATTTATTTGCAGAAGAGGAAATTTTAGTGTGTATAGACACACACACACACATATGTATATATGCACACACACTCATATAAATTTTCTACATATGTAGTGTTTCAGACTGACTGGAAAAATGCCAGGATAAGTTGGAAATGCCAGTCCCTCAGATATCTGGCACTGATACCTCATTACCTGATTGATACATGGTCTTACTCTATGTAATTTTAAAACTTATGTTCTTTATAGACATAATGAATACTCCATTTATCTGCTCATGTGCAGACAGTTCACCAGAGCTGTCTTGCAAAATGTGTGAGCATTGTGTGGAGCCTGATAAACGAGCAGTGTTTTCCTTTCATAGCAGGTGGCCCTCCTGAACTCCTCTGGTCAGGTCAGCCCTGGGAGCTCCCGGGAAGGCCAGGAGCCATCAAACAGTTCATTCTTGGTGGACTTAGAGCCATATTGATGTCAGGAAATGAGAGAGATTATGGATTTCTAGCAGAGATTTTTTTAATCTTTCAGAGTAATATTTTATTGCTCTTATGTATTTATATTGCAACAATGACTAAATACTCATTAGTACTGGGGGATGACCCAAACAATTTACTTTCTAATAAGTAAAATAGAGAAAAGGAATTATGGTTATGCATCTTTTACAGATGGTGAATTTACAACAAGTTTAAGTGGCCTTTCCAATATCATGCAGAAAGTGAATAATGAGCAAGGAGTAAACCGAGATATCCAGAGTCTCAGGCTGGAATTTTAATCACAAGATCATCTTTTCTGATCTGATTTGTCCACAGAAGTAAGAAACTTTTGCTAGTACATTTAGACAACTCAACACAAATTTGTCCTTGTCACTCCATAAAGGGAAATATTTATACTCATGGGCTTCCCTTGTATAGGGAGAAGGTAGCTTGGATGGGAAGAGGAATCTCATGGGAAGAGGAATCTCAGCGTAGGATTTTTTTATGTCATCCTCCCTGAATTTCTTATACAGGAAAAGGAAAGAAATCCCCCGACTCTTCAGGGTTTGCTTCTCCATTATAAGGATTAAAAAGGCATCAGTGTTGGGTCCTTATAAATTGGTGAGGCTTCATCTGCTGGACATGCCTGATGCCGTGCAGGTGGGAAACCCTGGCCTGAGTGCTGCACAGCCCCTGTCACCAGGGCTTGTAAGCTCCAGTCTGTCTTGCTGCAGGTCTCCAAGTTATTATTGCTCTAGTCATTTTCCCTGTGCAAAAGTACCTGTACTTGTCAATAGAAAAGTACTTACCCCTGCTTTAAGCCAAGATGTTGTGCTTGTGCTGAAATGTTATCAATGAAACATGGGTCAGAAGAGACCTCTTAGACAGGTTATCCTGTAATTACCCTCTTCACCTCTGAAATGACCATTACTGGATATGGTAAAAGCCAAGAGAGGCTCTCCTCTCATCTTTGCTCCTTTTGTCATGTCTCCTTCAGCAACCTGGGGAGTAAAATGAGAGCTTCGTTCACTAACAAGCCAGAGGATGGGAAAGCCTCAGGTAGAACCTTTCTGGGACTCAGAGCAGCTGGATCTTTTCAAGCAGGGCTGTAAGATGTGGATTGTCTTCTTTTGAGCTTCTCTGAGCTTGACCCAAGTAAGAATAAATTTGAAGTGCTGCTGATGTCCTCTGACAGTGCCTATACCAGTTTTTATGAAATAATTTTGCACCATTTCTGAGTTGACTGAAGTTAGGACAGGACACCCAGTGGGAAGGTGTTAGGATTTGAGCCTGATCGGTGAAATAAACTTCCTTGTCCTGCAGTGTCAGAAATCACTTGCATAATAATTGCTGCCTAGGACTTCCATCTCCTCTCTTTGGGCTGAAAGACCAAGAAAAAACACGCATCTATGTAGGTATGTGAGAGTCCGAGAGGTCTTACCAGAGACAGGGTTGTGCTCTCTCATGGTAAAGACTCCCAAGGATTTTCTTGCTAGGGCAGTTACCAGTTCTTGCTCAGTCAAGTCAGTAAGGATTGTTAGATGATGGTGGCCTTTTCTGCTGTAGGAAATGAATGCTTCCCTGTTTATTGCTCTTTGTTTTTTTATGAAGCAGAAGCCAGGTCAATTAGTTGGAGAAGGCCAGCAGCCTGTTGGGAAATCTGCAAAGCTAAAACCAGCGTTAAGAGAATACTTAGATAATTTGCTGAATCTGCATTCATTAACACGTAACAAAAATGCTTAAGCATGAGTTTAGGCATGATAAGCTTAAGGGACTTGTTAAATAACATAAACTCTAGGATTTCACAAGCTCTCTCTCTCTCTCTGGAGCAAAGATGACTGTAAAGATACCAAGTAGACAATATTATTAAAGTTCATTTATTGCTTAGTCTAGCTTGTATCAATCAGACTATTTCTTGAAATGAAAAAGAACAGGAAATTTCAGTACCTTTTGGTTTTTATTTTTCACACTTCAGAGGCTTAACATCGATTTTCTGAAGTAAAATCTTGCCTTTTGAAGCAAAGTATGTGAACAAAAAGAGAGAAACTCACAGTCAGGATTTGCAAAAAGTCTTTCAAGGACATCATAGAGCTAACGACAGGCTCAATGGTGTTCAATTTCCAGTACAATTCTGCAGACTGAGGAAATATGAATAGTTCAGAGATGTCTTAAGCCCCTGCATTATTGCATTATTATTCCACATAATGCAAATCCAAGACCCCTGAAAGCCTCTTCTATTCCTTTCCTCAACAAAGAGGAAAAACAGACAGGGATGTTCTGAGGTCTGCAGTTACAAGCAAATACAGAGCAGTGGGGCTGGCAATCATGGGGCTCTGTTAGTTGTTAGCATAAGGTTGTATCCAGTGCAATAAGCCTATTCTTTTTCCCTTTTTCCTGGGAAGCAATATGCTCATTTGACTGTGAGCGAATGGATCAGTACATCATTGTCCAGGACAATTTACAGGTGAAATGCTCTACCTGCTGCTGTGGTTCCTAGGAATGACTCAACCTCCACAGCTTTGCCTGGGTTGACCAGTCCCAGGAGGGGGCTGTAAACCATGCTACTTGTTTTCAGGTCAGCAGATGTAGCCAATGAGGTATTCACTGGATTAATGATAAAGCAGGAAAGGGCCACTTCAGACAGCACATAGGGAATGTCTACAGGTTCAGCTGACTCCTTAACATCAGCATCCTGACAATGCTGCTTTTCACCTAGCTTCTGGTACTAACAACAACAAAAAAAAGTAAGACAGGTAAGTATGCAAAAAGAAGTGTTACTAAGATAAGAAAAAGAGACAACAGGACTTGTTTTCCAAAACACAGTGAAACAGCTTTGAAACATAATGAAACAACAAATATGTTTGTGCATATCTTCCAAGATTAATGAATGTTCTCTTGTATGCTCATTTTTCTCATAGTCTCATCTCTGCTACTTAGATGATGATACAAAATCTCGTCAGGAAGGAGGATCACACAGCTGTTGGAAGTCACCATCAGAATCTCTTCACTGTGATAGATCACAGTTCTGAAGGCAAAGATATAGTATGACAGGTGTGTGCCTTCATTTTTATCTTCAAAATAAATAAATCATTTATGGAGTAATATTTATAGGTTTGCAATTTTATTTCAGTTACCTGTGTTACAAGAAAAGCCCTCATCCCTCTCTTTTGCACAGGGAGTGATGATGTACCTGCTAATGATCAGAAGATACATTTGTCTGTTTTATTCCCAACAAGCTCATAAAATAGCAAATATTTTGGTGTGCCTGCTATGTGTGTATGTAAAGACATGTGTGTATATTTGTTTTTAGAGCTGAATGAGTAATTGGGAACAAATCATTTATTTAACATGTTTTCCTTCAGCTGAATCTACAAAGAAATGCAGTGTAATTGGGAAAGCAGCTATGTGCCTCCCAATGCAGAGACCCTTTGAGTAGGATTGATATTAAAGCTGCCAACAAGTCATTTCTGAAGAAAATATCCTTCATTAAAAATCAGGGAAAATAAGTGTGTTTTCTGTTTTTCTTCTATTCATGAAAAATGCTTTTTTTTAAAAAAATCATTTATTTATTTATTTATAGACAAAACATCAGGGACAGTGAAGCAGGAAGCATATTTTCCAGAGCAATTAATTTTCACAGGTTGGGTCAAGGATCTCTAGCATGAAAGAAGAGGGGACCCAACTCCATAATGAAACCCCAGACAGCCTGGGATTTCTGGGAGTTCAGGACAGGATTTGGATCTCTGCTTCACAGTTAACAACCTGCCAGTCCCATGTCAGATATCCTCATACATGTGTGGTGGGGATGTGACATTTGGCTCAGAATACCACTTCTTTCTGGTAAAACACAACCCGGAGAAACACCTCCCAAAATACTAATTTAATTGTAGAGCTGAGGAGGAATATATTTGAAAAGATGTCACCTTATATCGTGAGTGTCTAATGACACAACAAAGCCAGCTATTTTCTTGCAGCTCTTCTCAGGTCCAGTGGATCATTTTATACTGTGAATTAAAATTCTCCATCCCACATCAATGAATATCTGCCATTCTTTGATAACAGGGCCACTCCTGCTTCACTGCCAAAAGCTGTTGCAAGAAACATTGGCAGTGTGGTCTTATTGAGACATTGAATGTGGAGCTCCACAGTAAGTGCACAGGATAAATGTGATTGCTACTTCAGTTTCTTTCCTTGCTCTGAGCTTCCTCCGTGTTGCCTTTACCTGGTTGTGGTTCTTCTCGTCTAAATGGTGTCAGTTCGTTACAACAGGACAAAATACATATTCATATGTTTAGGAAGTATCTTAGCACTGAGTGTGTTTTCTGCATCTCACAGAAAGTTAATGGTCATGAACTCCATGGTCTGAAAAATTTATTTGGAGTGATGATTATGATAATGTATCCTGGAGTGCATTTATCATTCATGCTTCTGAAGTGAGTCCTGTGGAAAAGAAAAGCTAACATATCTGTTTCCCTGTTAAATTAGCAGTGTTAGCTGCTTTTAAAATATTAATCTTCCAAGCTAAGTTGCAAAAGAATTTGTGAAAAGAACATAGCTCAGGGCTACAGGGATGCAGGCATGCAAGATCTCTGTAACAGCACCATAATCCAGAATGAAAACATTTTTAACAATGAGTATGTTGCAGTTCTTTGATACCTGTTGTTCTGGGATTACAAAGCATCTCACAAGCCTCAAACCAGTGCTCATGTTCTTCTTAATGTTACAAGGCTGCATAGAAACAAATGATTGTTTCCAGATGGTCGGGAGGATCAGAGGAGCTGGAAAGAGTAGAGTCTGGTCTTCATCAAACTCACTTTTCTTGCACTCCCTGCTCTATTATTACTTGAAAATATGCCTGCTGCCTTATTTTGTCTTAACCTGTTCTTTATCCTTTCCACATGTGGGACTTTCTGGCCAGCTATTCAGTTGACTTTCCAGAGGGTATTCTGGGACTACGGCCCCTGCATGGCTGCCCACAGCTGGGACATCAAATATAAAGTCTGCTCCTCAGGGTGTTGGGACTTCAGGATGTGGCACTTTAAAAAACAGATTGCTTATTTATAAGACCAAAAATAGAAACATGTTGCTTATATTAACACTGCTATAAATGGGTTTTACAGTCTTAGGCATTGCTTGAATGTATCCTGTGAGCCCCAGATATGTAGGAGCTACAGTTTACTTGGACACACACACTCAGCTGGTGGGTGGCAGCGATGTTATGTGGTTCATGTCTTCTGAATTCTTATGCTCATGTCTGCTGGAAATGTGTCTCCTCTCCAGGAGCCACTGGCAGTGGCACCCTCAGCATCTGAAGACACAGACAATACCAAAATCAGGATGCAATCACTGAACTCTGGGCACCATTCTTTGGTTTTGTTTGGTGGAAGAACAGTAGTACTTAGGCTCCAGATGTGTTGAAAGCAATGTCTCCGTGCTGACCCAGGTGGTGCTTTTGTCTCCTTAAATTCCTCTATCTTCTATTGTTCTCTTAAAGGAACATTTTTTGATTCTGTGTTTGCAAATGATCCAATAAGGGCATGGCTTATAAATGAGCCCTCAAGGCACTGCTGCAGTAACGTAAGTGATAAATAACAATAATTATGATAATAACGGAGATGGCATCTATTAGCAGAGACACTAATAGAGTTCTAATAAGAATCACAACTGGGTGATACTTTTTAATCAGAATTAATGATGTGTGTTGAAATATGTTATAGCAGGATGCCGTTGATTCAGCAGCTGAGTATCTAACAGAATCTCAAACCTTTCTCTAAGTAAGTTCAGGGCAAAGATAATTAGTTAGAATATAGATAAGGAAATTCTTTAATGCTGCATTTTCCTTTGAGGGGAAACATTTATCTATTTGTATGCCTGCCTATCTCTCTAATCTATCTATCTATCTTTTATTTGAGTGTTAGAATGGACATGTGAATACATTATTTGCTGTTAGGGCCATTGGAAGATCCTAATATATGTGCCATTTTTCTGAATTTGTGTGCATATATCAAGCACGAAATGTTTAGGCATGTTACCACTGTCACCATCCTCTTAAAACACTAAAATACAGGTTGCTCTGAAAGTGCTGCTAACAATCATGCACTAAACAGATAACAGTCAGGATCTTCTATGTCAAAGCAATCACCTCTAATCAGCAAAAATGGTAGTAATAAATACAAATCCCTATTTTACCACAAGCTGACCTACAGCTCATCACTTAATACAAGGCTAGGGAGATAAAAGAAGCTTTTTCCTTGTTCTAAAATCTCCAGTATTTTGTGAAAATGTACATTTCATCTCTATTTGGGAAGAATGGTCTACCATCTCCTCTGTCCTCATACAAAAAAGAGTGCAGCTCCATCTTCACGTCTTCTAGAAAAACTGCTCCTGTGAGGTGTCTTCCCAAGCTGGTGACTCCTGGGGACATTAGTGAGGTCAGAAGGACTCTTGGTTCTTACTCCCTTTGGATAGCTGGTTGTTAGTGGGGGCCCACAGGCCAGTACCTGTGGCTGATCTAGGAATCCTATTGCTAATGGCTTGCTGCAGGGCTCTGTCTAGGCAGTGCTCTATTCTCCATTTCTGTGGTGTATGTACCAGGTCCCTGTGCTGGTGGCTGCAGTCACCCCTTTGCTCAGGGGCTTGCTGCCTCCCGCACTGGGAGCCCCTCTCAATGACAGAGACTAGGATCTGGTGGATATGGGTCATTTTGCAAGGATGGTACTTGCTGGGTTGATCAGTGCTGGAAAGGATGAAGAAGAGGTTCATGGTTCAAAAGCAGTCAGTGCTGAAATGATTTGCTTCAGCAGTCACCGTGAGTTTTCTGAAAGAGAATGATTTCAGGGGACCAAGAGCAGCCCAAAGGCAATGAAAAGGTACCTTCCCTGGCAGACAGATCTTCACAGTTCATCAGGAAAGGCCTAATAGCAAGGGACATGTCCTGAAAAAAGAGAGGACTACCTCACAGCGGTATATGTGACAAGATGTTATGTGTTTTCTTCTAAGTGTCACTGCTCACTCACTCTAGTAGCCTATCGGCTCCACACACCACTGTTGTGCAATACCATTAAACAGCAGTATCAGCATCAGAGGAGGATGACAGAGAAGTGACTGTCCATGACTGATTCACCTTTCCCTCCTCAGGAGTCTGTCTCCTGGTCCTGAAAGGGGAACACAAGGATGAAGCAACAATTGCTCCTGCTCTCCTTTGCCAGCTGGGCTATCCATGAAGTAGCCTCTGGTCTCTGGTAAGACTTCCCTCCAGTATGGAGACTGTCATCGATGGATCACAATGCCTCTCTGCTGTGCCTCTACTAATGAGCAATCATGAGTTTCTTGATGTAAATCTCCTTGCATGCCTCCTTAATGATACTGAGTTTGTTACGATCATTGTTCTTCTGACATCCCATCTATTATGGCACCATTTATTTAGCGAGGGCTTTTTTTTTTTAAAAAAAAAAAAGAAAATAATTATTCCACACTGTTCTTGTTCCAGATGGCTTCTATAATTAGTTTATTACTTTTGCAGATGTTGTATGAAAACTTCAGGATGTGAGCCAACAATGGGGAGATGAAGCTAATGAAAGTGAGTTTTCAGTTGATTATTCACAATGTGGAAATAAATATATTCTGTGTGTCAGCTAAGTGCAATGCAGAATGCAAAGCATGTTATCTGGAGCATTTCATTCCAAGTGGTGTGTGTTGTATCAAAGCCTCTGGCTTCAGGTCATCTTCTTGTCCCCTGCTTCTATGGGCAGGAGGCTGGGAAAGGCCCATGTCTTTTCTGCCCAAAAGACTAGGGTATCATCATGAAGAGTAAGACTGCAGAGTTCAATTTCCAATCCCTAAACACTAACCATTTTTCAACCTTACCTGGATTCTTTCTCTCCCTGCTCCAATCCCCAGAAAGGAGGATGTCCCTGTTTCTTTTTCATGTCTACTTTCTTATACTTCACTGGTTTTTACAGCAGCTGCAATGCAGAAACAGACCTCCTGCCCTCTGTTCATATGGTAATGAGATGATCACATATTTACTAATTTTCTGGGATGGCAGTTATTTCATTAAGGGCAATTATTCATTTCCCTTTTGGATTTAGATTGCAATTTAAAAAAAGAAAAAAAAAAAAAAAAAAGTCTTGGGAGAGCCTCCCTTGCATTGGAAAACAGCGTTTCCCACTGAATAATGCCAGTACCTATTTATAAGCCCTCCTGGATAGGTTTCAATGTTAATATCCTTGGCTGAAAATACTTGGTGATTAATAGCATTGACTGGCTAGTTAAATACATGATCAACCTGGGAGCAGTCATGCTTCTCAAGTAACAACAGTAATTGACAGAATGTTCAGCAAATAAAACTAGCTTAATGTTGTACTAATATATAATTAAAATACCTGTAACTCTTTCCCCCACTGGGGATAAAATGCCACCACAGAAATGCCAAGTGTTTCAGTTTAAAAAAAGGTATCAGATTTAAAAAGCCTGATTTTTTTTTTTTTTTTGAAGCCTCCCTCCCCCTCCACCCCATAAATAGCCACAGTGGTAATTTTGTATTTGGAGGTGCCAGCAAACACAAGACCATTTCAGTTTACAGTTGCTCCCACACACTGTGCCTGCAAACAGGAGGCGATGTATATTTAAAGAGCTGCTCATTGGCATCCTCCCTTTCTGCCTGAAATGTATCCCTCCTACATCAGAGACATGAATTACTTACTGCCAGACAAAAAAGCGAGTGTGCGCTAGCAGTGACACCTTGGTGGTGTGAGTGGAGGTGAGGAAATTCAGCCTCTCATGTACAGCATCTCCCCCTCCTTCTGGTCCACGTTCGCCAGCCCAGGGCTGAGCACCATGGAGGGTTCTGTGTGAGCTGCCAGTGCCCTGCAATGCAGGGATCCTCCTGCTTGTATGCAAGACATCGGCTTCATATTTTTCAAATGTGTTGTCTGGCCTTTAATCTGCCCCCCTCCCCTCTTCAGGCACATCCTAGAAGGGATTTACTTGCAATGCACAGTTAAATGTAGTAAATGTCTTGAGCTTCAAGTTCTCTTCAACTTTGTGGTCCAGATCTTTCGCAGTCCCTGAAATCAGGAGCAGAGGGTAGACATTAACCCTATATCTGTGCATTACACTGAGCTGCCAGATGCAGCTAGAAAACAAAGCAGTGTGATAATCTCCTTTCTCCTTCCATTGGCAACACATCTTCAGTTATAACAGAATTACGATGTGTAGTTCCCCCAGCTTTGCTGGCACTGCAGCAGATATTAATCAATGTGTGCTATCCATTGAGCTATTTGTTTTATCCAGATTTGTTATTAACCTCCTTTCCATCAATCCAGTGAGGGCCAGAGCTGTTTGGAAGTATGTGTGTGTTCACTGCTTTTACAGAGGGTATAGTTAAAAAATTAAAACTCTATAAAACATCAGGTCAGGTTCAAGCCAGTATAATTCTTCTGCAGCTGGTGGAAAGTCCAAAGGAGGTCTGGAGCCCAGCCCTTCCTATAGTAAAACACTAAATAGGTGCTCAACTTTGGAGCTCTGTTAGAACAAGAAAAAGGAATAAATTAATTACCTTTATTAATTAAGGTACCTTACAGGACAAAAACATAACTAGCATGAAAGCAACGATAGCACAAAGCTATCAATAGCAATATTTTGTAGTATGGAAGTAGGCAGAGGAAGCAGGAGCAGGAAGTGGGAGTATCAGAAATTTAAATGGTGGGCAAAAATATAATAAAGCATGAGTCCTGTCCTAAAAATCCTCTACTATTTGGATAGAAAAAAGAGAGATTTCTCTCACATTTTTTCAAATTGGGAGACATGAGTAGGACAGTGATGTATTAGAAGGTAGACAGAGTGTCTGTAGGATGCCCATGATTTATCTCCAAGTTTTCAGAATTGTCTGCTATTTTAGAAGATTGGTCACCTCTTTCTCTGGAGGGAAGACATGCTCAAGCAGAGACAGCTATCAGCTCCTTAACTGGAGAGTACTGGGAGGACAGGGATAGACACAATGAAGATAAATTGTTGGAATAATCGAAAGTGAGAAATTTGATTGAATTTATACACTGATCAGCTCACTAAGAGTTTGAGTTACTGTTAAATCTTTATATTGCACAGAAAGTGAAAAAGATTTTATTTATATATATATGCTCACAAATATATTAAATTAAATCACAATTAAAAAATATCCTCCATTTTACAGCAATTCCTATCTCAAAACAACTCCCTTCCTCTTTTTTCATTATCATCATTCTCTGGCCGCCGCTTAGACGCTTTGTGCAGTGCCGTTACAGAGCTGACATCTGTTGTGATGCGCCTATTCTTAGAAATAGGCCTATCTCTAGTACCAGGCTGTGCCTTTTTTCTCATATCATTGTTCATGTTGTTGTTTTCCACTGTTTTTATTTTTTAATTTAGCAAACGGCAAAAAAAAAAAAAAAAAAAAAGACACTAAGAAACTTTAAAGTCAGTTTGGAATGACTAATGTTATTATGAGTGTGCTGGTTTGGGTGGGGAGAGAGGCAAAAGATCTATTGCTACAGAGCCAGGTGTGAGTCACGTTGAAACACTTTTCTTCTCAGGAAATTTTTCTTCATGATCCAAATCAAAATCAGTAGGACAGAAAAAGCCACAGGGGGACATCATACCAAGACACTGTTGCAACAATGCCTTTCATGAGTTCAGAATGTGGTTTAACTTATTTGCTTTTTTGGGCTGTGGATCTGATGCTTCCCAGCTCTCATCCCAGTCCAGAGCCATTGCCTTCAAATAGTGGTCCGGAGTTATTTTATTGACAATCTTCCCAGGCTGACAAATTTTTTGTACACTTGAACTGGGCTGACACACTGATCTCTTCATTTGTTTCCACGTTCTAGTTCAGATCTTAGTGAAAATTGATTCTCTAGTGTTTCTGTGTTCTGACAGTGGAGACCTTTCACTTCCCACCATCATCCAGATGAGGAATCATCCCAGAGTGATCTGCTGCAGGCATCTGTGAAATGGTTGCAAGCCTGAGAACAAATTAAAAACACATTGGGAAGTGAAAATAGCAGAGGTCATCACTGTCACTCACCTTCAAGTCTGACAACCTGTGGAAGTTTAATCTGAAAATTCTCCTGTTGTCTCAGTATCACCTCACTGATGAAATCCAGTGTATGATACTAAAGGGTTGGTGCCAAGCGATCCTTTTCAATATCATTCTAGTCTCAGTGTACAGCCTTGCAAAACATCTGATTTGCTATTATTAATTGTACAGTATGCTGCCTCTTTTAGACAGACATTTCCTGCAGTAAAATCCTTAGGACTCCTTACCTGCACAGAAGATTCTTCAAGCACCAGATAAGAGTTGATTATAAGGCAGATCCACAGCATGTCATTAGCAATTTCAGTCTTGAATTATCTCAATGGTTGAATCACTTTTAATGGTAGAGAGGGGTCTTGGCTAACAAGTTAGGTCAAGGCTGATCCTAAACCTTGGGGAAAACTGCCCTCACATCTGAATTTCATGGCTTCAATATTGACTTTATGGGCCATATGATGGCCCCTATGATTCGTCATTCTCTCTTTCGCATCGGACTTATTCTACAGTTAATGGCTTAACACTTTTGAGTTGGCACTTTTAGTATAGGGGATTGTATTTCTCTTCACATGGCTCATGAGCAGATAATCAGAGCACTGAAAAATACAGCTCATCTTCTATAGGTATTATCTTTCTGAAGGAAAAGGACTGTGTCATGTAAAACAGCTTTTAGTCTCTCTTAATATGATACAGAGTCTCGTTAAGAGTGATCTGCATCTCCAGTGGACTGGTTTTTTGGTTGTATAATTAACCTGAATCAAAAGCCTAGAAAATTCAGGAACAGGTGTATCTGGATCTAAGTGTGACAAATGACCTTTAGAACCAAACAAAAACCTAAGGTCCAGGACACTCCTGATCAAAAATGGATGTCCTGCTATTGCCTTGGCTCAAACTACATCAATTCCCTGCCTCATCTGTGATAAAAATCTCAGAATCAGGCCATGATTCAACACTCGTAACTACTATAAAAGGTTGGTGCATTGTGGTGCTTTTAGTGTCATGAGCATGCGATCTTTGTAAGACCTTCTGCTCAGATAGCAGACAGAACTGAACCTTTCTACTAGAAAAAAGACAGCAAAAAGTGGTACAACCCTAAAGAGATGCCAAGGATAGAATACCAACATGATTTTCTACTGATTTGAATTCACTGCATGTGATGAATGATCAAATGGAGGGACCTTAAGAAAAGGAGACAGGTTCTGGTATTTGAGAATTTTACATTTTAGGGAGGTTGTTTTAGAACTTAGGAGAGGGATTTGGTTGTGGACCAATTAAAAACTGAGGCTTGAAAATTGTTTAGTGTTATGTATAATTACTTTTGCAATGATATCAGGAAATTATTTAAATGCAAATTAAACTATGCTGCCAGAAGGTAGATGTATAGCATTGAATAGAGCTATTTTAGAAAACAACCTAATTTTAGGAAAATTACCTTCCTTGTCCTGAGAAAAAAAAAACCCAGTGGCTGTGGAATTAGTGGTACCAGTAATGTATTGCTAAGATCAGTTAAAC